TTGTGCTGGCCCAAGCCCGAGGTCAAGCCTGAATTTCCCAACCCGAGGTCAGCTCGCCCTATAATTTGATGCATTTGGGTTGGGCTTGGGCCCAAGGCAGGCTCGGGTTGGTCAATGAACCCACTCTAAAATTATACATATATAAATGTATGTATGCAAAATATCTATACAAAAGTTATATATATAAATATGTATGTATATATATATATATGTAAATATATAAATATGTAAATATGTATGCAACATTTATATATATAATTGGGCCAGGCTCTGGCTACCTAAAGGCAAGGCCCAAGCTTGTTTCGAAAAATAAAAAAAAACTCGACTTCTTGGGCCCGAGCCTAGCCCGAGGATCGAAAATCCAAGCCCAGCCCGTGTAAAATTCCGAATTGGACCGGTTCAGGATTCCGAGTTGGACCGGTTTGGGCTCAGGCTGGACCCTTTTAAATTGCATACCTAGTTCCAGTCTTCCATTTGTTTCTCTCTTAGATCACTAGGCTCTGATGACTGATGATACCAATCTGGTAACTAACTCTTCCCAGAGACGAGAAGAGTGCTTCTTGCCCTTCCAAGCTATGGTGCTCGGCGGTACTGCTTAAGAGAAACCCTAGAGGGATTAAGAAATTATCAGAGAAAGTTTGGCAATAATATCTGTAAATTATTCTCAGATGGCAAGGCTTATTATGTAGGTTATCCTTGCCGTTGCATCCACTGTGAACTACTGCCACATCACTACCAGCGACTTTCAATATGATGTCTTTTCTGCATCATAGATTTTCCTTTTTCTTTTCTTTGTTGGGAAAATCTATGATGCGAAAAGGATATGGTATGGGAAAAGTTTTGACAAATCAAAATCCACCCATGAATTTTGATAAATAACACCTGATTAGCTACCACGTTTATGATTGTAATTGATTGGTCAGAAAATTTTCAGATATCATATATTTTCCATATCATAGTCGAACCCCTTCCTTGTTAATTATGAACTATTGCCCGTGTTGAATAGTTCAATAATTAGACTGTCTAGATAAGTGTTTTGTTGATTATTTCAACAGTTTCTTTCTTTCTTTCTTTCTTTTTTACAAAATACACTAAATAGAACCGGAAGGTGGTCGGTTTCTGCGGTCCAAAATGCTTCCACCACCTAGATCAACACCATTTTAAAAACCATGATTGCATATGTATGACACATTGATATTCATTCATGATTGATTACATAGAGTTTTACCAAGAGTGGAAAGCACCGGTGGCAACATTTAAACCAATTTTACGAATAAACACAGTATATATTTAAATCAAGTTGGGTTAAATTGTATCGGATGAGATTGGGTGGGGTCGACCCATATTCGATCCAACTACAAATAAATCACCCTTGACCCGATCAAAATTGGGACAAGTAGACACCGCTTACACCCCTAGATATACTATGACATTGACTTGGAATCTCTCACATGTGATTAGGGGTGATCATGGGTAGTTTCGGTTCGGTTCAGTTTTATGGCAGAACCTGTATTCTACCCTATAGGGGTCGGTTCCAAGTTTTTGGAACTAGAACCTACCCTGTGAAGGTTGGTTATGGCCTTAACAGTTCCGGGGTCGGTTCTAGGGTCTACCCATGGAACTTATTCTTTCTTTACTCTCTCCCTTCAAGATAAAAAATGAAACATGTCCTTCAAAAACTTGATTTTCAATAATAAATTTTAAAACTTATATTATCTTTGTTGATTAAATTGAATAATTTAATATGTAGATTATCATAATATATTAATATATGGTTGAAAATTTGTCATTATGATTTAAATTTTGTAAGCATTACCTTTTTACCAATGTTTTCAACCCGTCGTTGACCTAATCGGTCCAACCATTCAAACTATCACCAGGTTAGGATTCTAAATCCGGTTCAATCAAGATCTGTCGGACAGTCAAAAACTATTGACTTGGTTTAACGTAGTGACTTAATACTAGAGAATTTTATTTCCTTACGGTAGCTTGTTTTTCAGTTGGTGCTATTCTTTTTTGGTGCATTAATGTAGTAGTTCATTTCAGTTATCAAGTTCATAAAAAAAAGGAAAAGTTAGATGTTCACTAGTTTGTATAGCTAAATTCTTGTCTCTTCTTGTTGTAGTTTAGCTCATCACTTAACTAGTCCGTTAATTCTCTTTTTTTTTTTCCCGGTATGCTTCATTTAGTTTTCCAATCACCACATTTAGATGCTATGCATTTCTTTTTACAATTACAATTGTTAGATTGTCTTAGTGGGATGTTCTCGTTCATTTTCATTTAATTTTATGCTTGTCTTATTTAATTTATCATGTCTAGTGAGTGTGTTAATTTCAGTAAAAAAACTAAGCCCAAAAATTAAAATTTTCCTTGGAAATTGGTGAAGTAGTGGTTGGTTTAATCGGGCGCGTGTGAGGTGCCCAACACCCTCCCACACCGTGCCTTGGTACCTAGACCAAAAGAATCTCATCCCCATTGGGCAACAAGTCACTAAGAAAACAAAAATGTTTTTCTTGAAAAATCTCGGGTTTTTCTAAATTCCCATTTTCCAAGAATTTAGGTGGCGATTCTAATCCAAACTCCATTCCGTCCTCCCTCCAAATTGGATATCCACACGCTTAAAGTTAATGAAGATAGAGAGGGCATCGGATTTGTGAGACATGGGATATATCCAACAATAATGGCTGAAACCATCAACAAATAGAATATAATATGTATAGCCATGAGGAGAGGCTACAGGGGCAGGCCCCCAAACATATGTGAAAACAACCTCTAATGGTGAACGTATTGTAGTAGAATCAAAATAAAATGGTAGTTTTTGACTTCTGCCCATTTGACAAACACAACAAATTTCTAACTTATTATGAGAATCCATTGGCAAACAAAATCTATTAATAATAGAAGGAACCACCTTAGGTGTGGGATGGCCCAACCTCCTATATCAAACATTAATATTGGTGCTCTCTCCAACAGCTGCAAATGGTGAATGTGTATCCATGTTATGTAAATTGCAGAGCTTGTAAAGGCCACTTTCATTCATCCCTTGGAGAAGAACTTTCTTGACCAACTAATAATAAGTTTTTGGTACTATGAGGAACATGCAGAACATTTTTCAGATGCAAATTTCAATCTGAAGAAGGAATAATAGAAGAACCAATGTGTTTTATAGGCAATCTTGATCCATTGTCTACTCAAATTTGATCGGGATCAAGTTGGCAAGATCAGCTGTGAGGTGGTTCGTCGCACCTAAATCAGGGTACCAGGCTTCACCACATGATGAGTTAGTGGAGACATGAAAAGCTTGCTTCTGTTGTTTAAAACTTTCTCTTTTAAAGTTCCTGTCAAATCTATACTTGCACTTAAAAGCAGAATGATTCTTAAGCCCAACAGATTTGACACTTCTATTGGGGTTTAGAAGATTGGGGGTAAGATTTGTTGCCCTTAGAAAAGTTACGGGAATCATTTATGTTGTTGAAATTAGAATTACCCTTAATAGCCATATTAACATTGAACAATTTGAATCAAGAGAACTACGAGAGCCTTTGAGTTGACCCAATCGAATTTCTTGATTAACATACCAAATAAAGTTCAATTTACACCCATAAATTCATAAAAGGGGATAATTACATCTGAAGTAGAAAAGAGGATATCCCATTATTCCTCAGATCTTTCCTAACAAATAAATCAAAATTGTAAAAGAAAAGAAAGGAGTAAAGAGCGAATGAAAACAAAGGAATATAAACAAACCAAATGTAAGTTCATCTTTAAAAGATTTGATCTTCCCTATGAAAGAAACAAATGTGAAATGATCAAAGAATTTCTGTTTGCTTGCTTAAAAAGATCTGATATTTGAATTCTTTGGAGGTGAATCTAGTGCAGCATTCGTGGCCATTAGAAGAGCAAATGAGTTGTYGGAAGTAAGGAGGTTTTGGCTTTCAGTGTTCTCGCCTTCAAATTATTCAAATGTTTCATTTTGAAAATTTAAAGTAAAGAAGATTTAGTCAATTGTCAAAAAATCTAAGGTATGTTAAGACAATATATAAATAATAGGGCAGTGTTACTCAATTTCCTAAAACTTAGGGATATTTAAGAAATTTGACCCAAATTGCATGGAGTCATATATGTAGATATCCTACCAACAAAAATCCCTTCCAATACATTCCAACTTGATCCGATTTTTGTTGGGTAGGAGATTCTATCTCACCAACCGGCTTGGAATTCTTGTTCTATGGGTTGGACAGTCTAGATGTATACCCTCATATTATGACATGTAATGTATCATAGTACATGTTAAATTTTGAGTTATTTACTAAAACACCCTTTATTGTTTTATAGATTTACTAAAACCTATTTTATAATTTGTATTTTATTAAAACACCCATTATAATTTGCAATTGGTTTACTTAATCAACCTTCCATTACAATAAAAAATAACAGTTTTGACCCTAATACCCATTTGAATGAATTTAATTAAAAGAAAATATAAATTAAAATACCATTTTTACCCCTAATAAGACAGTATTAGGATACTTTTGAAATAAACAACACCCATTATAATTTGCAATCGGTTTACTTAATCAATCTTCCATTACAATGAAAAATAACAGTTTTAACCCTAATGCCATTTGAATGAATTTAATTAAAAGAAAATATAAATTAAAATACCATTTTTGCCCCTAATAAAACAGTAATAGGGTACTTTTGAAATAAACATCATATCCACTCGCTTTAGATGATCATGTAATTATTTTCCGACGATGCAAAACAGACATTTCGTAGCGAAAGGTCAATTAAATAAATTGGTTAAAAACTATAGGGGTGTTTTGAAAAAATGAAAATTATAAGTAGGTTTAATTGAACGACACAACTAAGGGGGTGTTCTGGTAGATGACCCTAAATTTTCCGCAGTAATAGGATATCTCCCTCGTTCACTCATATGTCATATCCACCTATCGTCGAGATTTTGTTGTGATAACGTGGCTCACAGCGACCACAAAAGTTTACAAAAACCAATGCAATCACGCATTAATCCTTCTGCATTTGCTTCTTTTCCTGCCAACTCCCCGCCAAGGAATCAAAACCACTTTGTCTCTTCATTCGAAAATCTTCTAAGTGGAAATGTCTCTCTCCCTCTCCTCCAATGGTTTCAGTCTTCATTCAACGAAGCTTCAGAGTTGCAAAAGATGCAGCCCTTCTCAGCTACCCAACTCTCAAATTCAGGTTAGTTTTAACAGTTACAATCCTTCACTGCTTCTTCCTCTGTATGTATCAGAACCAACGAAGTTTTGCAGAAAAAGGGTCTGTTCTATAACGGCTTCAACTGCCCCAGTTGTCGAGACTGCCAAATCTTCTTTCAGAGACAAAAACCCAAAAGACATCAATGTCCTAGTCGTGGGTTCGACTGGGTATATTGGAAAATTCGTGGTTAAAGAATTGGCGCATAGAGGGTTCAATGTCATAGCCATTGCCAGAGAGAAAAGTGGAATTAGAGGTAAAAATAGCAAGGAAGATACACTAGAACAGTTAAAAGGGGCTAATGTATGCTTCTCCGACGTTACCCATCTGGGTTCTCTTGAGAATTCTCTGGAGAGTTTTGGGTATTCAATTGATGTCGTCGTGTCGTGCCTAGCTAGCCGATCTGGTGGTGTCAAGGACTCGTGGAAGATAGATTACGAGGCCACGAAGAACAGCCTCGTCGTGGGTAGGAATCATGGGGCTTCCCATTTTGTTTTGCTCTCAGCAATTTGCGTACAGAAGCCTCTTCTTGAATTCCAGCGTGCCAAGCTGAAATTCGAAGCCGAGTTGATAAAAGAAGCTGAGGAGGATGCTGGATTCACTTACAGCATTGTTAGGCCAACTGCATTCTTCAAGAGCTTGGGTGGGCAGGTCGAATTGGTTAAAGACGGGAAGCCTTATGTGATGTTTGGGGATGGGAAGCTGTGTGCATGTAAACCAATCAGTGAGCAGGACTTAGCTTCCTTCATGGCAGATTGTGTGTTGGGCAGAGACAAGATCAATCAGATTCTCCCAATTGGCGGACCTGGTAAGGCTTTGACTCCATTGGAGCAGGGGGAGATGCTGTTTAGACTTGTGGGGAGGGAACCCAAGTTCTTGAAAGTGCCTATCCAGATAATGGACTTGGCTATTGGGGTTCTTGATTTTCTTGTCAAGATATTTCCTTCAATGGAGGATGCTGCAGAGTATGGGAAAATTGGGAGATACTACGCGGCTGAGAGCATGTTGGTTTTGGATCCTGAAACTGGGGAGTACAGTGCAGAGGAAACGCCAAGCTATGGCAAAGATACACTGGAAGAATTCTTTAAGAGAATGCTCAGGGAAGGGATGGCTGGGCAAGAATTGGGCGAACAAACAATTTTCTGAATGTTGTCATGTGGAAGGAGTTTGTAAATTTGGGGTGATGGGTGATGCGTTTGTTTTAAATGAAGGCTCATTAATGGGTGGAAGGGCCTGAAGCTTTCAACAGGATGAGACAATTTTGTAACAATGCTTGGTTTGAGGTGTATGATTGAATCTCTCAATTGTGAAACCTGAATTTGAAGTTGTACTGGTTACAAAACAAGATAAACTAATAGCATGATTAGTTCACTATCTGATGACTTTCCAAATATAAGTTTTCTTTCTTGCTGTTTTTGTCAATTATATGAACTGCATTTTACAAGCTTTTAAGATGTGTTATTTTAATTTCCAGTGTTTTAGATATTTCTCATCAGAAAACATGGTTTAGCTGTGATCAGGCAAGAACCAGAGTTGAGCTTGCTTATTCAGAAATACCAGAGCAAACAAGTTCCCCTCCATCTACCTTCTTACTTTCGACCTAACATTGATGGTGGAATCTGCTGGGTTTACTCATACCATTGATTTAAGAATTTGATGAATTACAGCTTGTTAGTTCTAATACCAAGTTTTCTTGTGAAGCCCTGCTGCGAATTGAAGTACTTTGAGCTGTGAGACCAGCAACAGGAGGGTGTGGATATAAGAAAAAAAGGGGGTAATTAGCAGGCCCCTTAGTACTGCAAGATTTTCCAAATAAATATGCTGCAGGAGATTGATATGTATAGGATTTTAACCATTGTCCTTATACAATGGTGATTGCATGCTAAACCAACTTCTTTAATATTATAGAGCACCACAAGAAAAATGCAGAGTTTCAGTAATGAAAACATCACATAGTACCAGTAACAAAAGACATTGTAACAAGGAAAAAGAAAGACACCAGAAACCATCAGATCAAGTGCTTGAGGCCCATGTGAGGTTTATGGGACTTAACTTGATTTCTTTTTCACATACACTGATAGACATGCTATTGTACTTCCATTCAGAAGGGGGATCTACACTGGATGAGTGTATCTAAATGGAGATCTTGTTTCTCTCAAGTAATCGATGGCAGTGCCTATATCATTTGTTACTCTGGTGAGTGGCCCATTGTAACTGGGTGATGTTGCCCACCCTGAATGACTGGGCCTATTCCAGCCACTTGAAGTGATCATGGCAGGATTCCTCTCAGTGTCTGGCAGTCTCTCACTTCGTCCATAGGAGCCATCAAACTGCGGCTGCTGTATGGTGTTGCCACTTGGTTTATTCCACTGATTAGCTCTGTTGTCACCATATCCACCATAGYCACTGGTTCCATAGTGATCATTAGGTTTTTGTGTCTGATGCCAATTCTTGCTGCTCACTAGGTTTACCTTGTTTGGTTGACTTACTTCAGTTTGCACTCTTCTAAAGAAGTTTTCAACTTCAGGAGGTCGGTCATGAGATGGGCTTCTGTAATTACCCCATCCATTATTGACAACCTCATAATTTTTTGTTGGCCGCATCTTCGTGGGGGAGTTGCATCTGTATTCTACCACTGGACGTGTGTAAACTTTCGGTTCTCTGGTTTCATTTTTGATGGCATACCTATCTGTACAACGATTGGGAGTGCAGGAAATCGCCTCCCTTCTACCCTCTGCATCAACAATGACAGGTGGGCATGATTGTTTCTGATACCGCTCACAATTGCTATCTGAATAATGATTGGGTGTGGAGGAAATCACTGCCCTTCTACCCTCTGCATCTACAATGACAGGTGGGCATGGATGTTTCCGATATCCCTCACAATTGCTGGCATTGTTTGGTTCTCTCCAACCATCTGAGCAATTTTCAACTCCATGCCCATTGTGGCGGGTGCCCCAACTCTGGGTAATGGTGTATTGCCTGCTTTCCTCCTGTGTGGCATAGCCTCTTCTCATGTAACTATACTCAGCCATTACTTATTTGCCTTTGGACTCTCGTTCCCCCCAAGAACTCAGAACTTCTGTCTCACTTGTGGAAGGGGCTGATCTTCTCCTAATATAGAATTCTCAGACATGAAAGATTTGTCCTACTTTCCTACGCATAGGATGAGGAAGATGAATAACTAAAGTACCTCCACTAGAACTGATGCCAGGGGATTGGGTTCTGTCTGGCCAAGGCAATGTGGCATCTATTTACAGTTAGTTTATGCATCTTGATATTCTTWTTCAGTGGCAAATGAACAACCGTTTGGAAAGGACAGATTCTGCTTCTCCCGAAAGAGAGTGACCTCCATTACCTTTGAACTTATCTCAATTGCATTGCTTTGCCACATTGACTAATGACTGGTGTAAGTTTGGAACATTTTCTTTGGGAGAATAAAGAAGAAAGGTAGGAGAATTTATTCAACTGTTTTGTCACGAAACTTCTGTAGCGTGAAAAAGAAAAGAGAATTTTATAGCAGCAAGCGTAAATTTTAGGCCAAGGAGACTAAGTGAAAACACTGTTCATTGTTTGGGCCTAGCCAAAATTAAAATCGAACTAGGAAATAAATGAAGACTTCTTAATGTATGTACGAAACAGAAATCAGGAGCAGTCGAATAAATTAGGGGTTGAACTTGTGAGTCGGAGGCTTCCATTTTAAGCTTTTCTCTTATTTTCTACCAAACAAACCAAACACAACCAAAGATACTAAATCTAATAGCCCTCCACTCGGGAGTTGAACAGATGTGCACGGGGCACATTGTTGTCACACTCGGATTACCACACTGTCATAGGGGTAGATCTGTAGTGGAAGAAGCCCATGTGGCGTATAGGTCATGTGCGGCCAGGACAAGCCTAATGTGTGCTTAAGGGCCATGTGTCAACCCGATGAATGGCTTTATCAAGGTCAGTGGCACTGGATCATGACCTTGCATCTCATGGCCAGGGCTCTCTGTGGCTCTTCCCGGTCCATGGAAGGCACCTCTTACGTGCCAAAGGGGGATCGTCATGATGAGAGGCACATGTTGGGTCGATGATGTGAGGCACATGTTGTGTTGAGGATGTAAGGCAACCGTTGGGCCTCAGCACACCCGTGCATTGTGGGCAACGGGGTAGCTTGATCAGTTTAAGCATGGGGCTGGCGAGTTGTAGAGGCATGCTTGGGCCAAACTCTCATGAAAAGCCTCTCTTCAATGTGTGTGGTGCAGTGCCAGTCCATGCACTGTCTCCTTGAGCGTATGTATGCCCATGAGTAACCCTGGTAGCCATGCTAGCCATTAACCCGAGCCGCCCTGCAAGAAAATGTTAGTCTAGGAGTGCCAAGGAAGTCAACCACCCCTCCTCAAAGAGTACATTAAGCTTTTAGTGGTTTGCCAATAGGAAACATCATTTTTCTGAAAAATCATACTAGAATATTTATAGTATTGCCACTCAACGTAAGCCTGCCAAGCATAGGCAAGGCTAAGCCTGTGTCAGACCGTGACAACACGGTCAAACCCCTAAACAGGTGAACCAATGAACATTATGGGAGACTAGATTGTCACGGGGCTAGTGGACGGGCCCCGTGCGGTGCTCGATTGTGTCAAGAAAACCTACAAAACAAAGCAACAAGCAGCAAAAGCAATAACGATGACACACAAATTAGTCAAAAGGTTCTTTGCATTGCATAAATTGGTGGCAAGCACAAGCACACAGTTTAGTGTTGAGGGGATCCCGTGCTTAACCTTTACATGTTCTTAGTTCACTCGACTACCTACCTACCCCTCAGAGTAAGTTAAGCTTTTGGGGGAGTGACAAAAGGAAACATTAAAATGGTGAAAAATCATACTACATAATTACAATATGCCATTAGTAGTCCCCCATACAAAATACATGCATTGCCCCACCCAAGACACACTTGATGGCACTTTCATGGCACATCACAAGCATGATAATGGCACTTGTAGGCACGGTGAAGTGGTCACTTCTGATAGTCTCCCCCACTCAATTTGGTCTTCGTCCTCGAAGACCAATTTTCTGCTCACTACTTGAATCTATTGTTGAGGAAGGAGGGTTCTTTTATTGCTCCGCAAACTTTGTCTCTTCCAAGGCCTGGGCGTAAGCTTGGTTGGTAAGCTTGATGGCGTATTTAGTGTTGGGGAATACTATGGCTATGGTTTTGGTTAAGCCCCTTCCTGTCCGCTTCAAGGTAGGACATTGGATGATTTGGCTTGGTTGAAGGGAAAGTTGTGGTTAGGTTTAGGGAAAAAGGTGTCTTGGGATTGATGGGACATTGGTTCCAGGTTGCTAAAAGTATTGGGTTGAGGCCAAGTCGGTTTGTGGTCCCTATTTTTGGTGGTTAGCACTCACTCACTCACTCACTCACTCACTCTCTCTCTCTCTCTCTCTCTCTCTTGTTGGTTTGACAATAGGTGGGTGTGTTGTTGGAGGCGGCCTTTGGTCTTCTTGATGTCTTCGTCATCGGGTTGCTGCTGCATTGACACTGGCATTGGAATGACTTCACTGGAGACTACTTCTTGATGACTTCTTTGCTCGTCCTTGTGTTAGTGTGAGATGCTGGAGTGGGGGTCTTCTCTGATGTTGGCATGGCATTGACGTTGGGGGTGACTTCTTTTGGGTACAATTACAGGGTTGAAACTTGCTTCCCATGCACCTTGATTGCAGTCATCACCGAGATCATGCAAGGAGAGTGCTTCTCCAAGATGAGTAGGATGTCAATGTGTGGAACAAGGGCTGCTTCTGCCTGTGTTAGGAACTCCATTCTGAGGACAACTTGGAAATCGTCCAAGGGTACCACAAATAAGTTGATGCTTCCCTTCCATGGCCGTACTTGGAGTTCTACTTCATGAGCCATGCCTTCCACTGTCTTGGCACCAGAGTTTATCGCTTTAATCCACCCCACCTGTTTAGAGGTAGCCAAGTTGAGCCGCTTGGCCTCAGCGAGTGAAATGAAGTTATGTGTTGTGCCCGTGTCTACTAGGGCTTGAGTCAGCCTCCCATCGAGGGTAATGTCAACATATTTGAGCCCATTGTGGGCCTTGTTGGGCTACTAAGGTGTGGCCTCTTTCTTTACTAGGGCATTGATTAGTTGGAGGGCGCCAACTCTTGGCGCCAGAGTATGCCTGTCCTCGTCGTTTTGTTCATCATCATTGAGCTTGGCGATGAGGGCATTAAGTTTTTTCCTTGTAGGGCAGTTTCTAGTTCAGTGCATCTCATTGCAAATGAAGCATGGTTTTGATGGGGTAGCTGGCCTCCTGTATTTGTAAGTGTTGTAGTCTCCTCCGGCTTCTTCCCTTTTTGATACTCGGCTAGCTTATTGTAGTGTGGCTACTTCTCTCGTGAGGGTTTTGATTGTCATTCTCCCCTCCTCAAGTCCATGGCACTTGGACTTGGAGGCTTTTCGTCATCTGATATTCTCATTTCAGTGAGTTGCTCAGCTATGACCATGGCTGATCCAAGATCTTGAACATTTCGTTGTTGAAGTTCTACTTCCGCCCATGGTTGTAGACCATCCATGAAATTGAAGAGTATGTCCTTTTCTGACATGTCAATGATCTCAAGTGTGAGAGTTGAAAACTCCTTGACGTACTCATGGCGTGAGTTCTTATGTCAAAGTCCTTTCAGCTTCCTACGGACCAGGTATTCTACGTTCTTCGRGTAGAACTGTCTCTTTAGTTCTCTTTTGAACTTGGTCCAAGTGTCAATGGTGCACGTGCCATGCTCAATATCTCCACATCTCCTATGCCACCACAACATAACAATATCAGCTAAATACATTGATGCAGTGCGGATTTTGGTTCTTTCATCATTAAGATTTGTTACTGAAAAGTATTGATCCATCTACCACAAGAAGTTGTCACGCTCACGTGCATCGTGTGTGCTTGAGTAAGGAGTTGACTCTTGAATCTTTATGTGGGTAGGAGTGAATATCGTTGCAGGTATTGCCAAATTGGTAACTGTTCTCCTTAAAATGTTACACCCCCCTTAATCTCATCTAGTTGGGCCTACATGTTTGTTGAGGTGCACATGGCCGATTTCATGGTTGCCCATTCTTCCTTCATTACATCAAGTTGGGCCCGAACGGCCAAGGATGTGGACATGGTTCGCTTCCACCTTGCCGATTTCATGGTTCGCTTCCACCTCACCATGCTTGAAATTTGTCAAGCGTGTCTTGAATGTTTGATTGTGAAGAGCTTGTTTCTTGTTGACACGAGGTGCTCAAGACCTCATTGAGGGTTCCATTCATCACATCGTGCACTTCCTCCAGGGCATCATTCAAGCGCCCCTCTAACTCTACAATTGCGGGTTCGACTCTCTCCATGGTGAGGTGAAGCTCCTCCACTCGATCACGTGTCTCACCCATTGTTACTTCATAGTGTAGCATGTGGGTGTCAATGTTGGCGAGCCTATTCGTGGATTTCTTGCACTTGCTAGATTTTGATGCTCAACCCTTTGGGGCCTTATCCTTGCTAGGGTCGTCTTCAGGTGCATCATTTTCCTTAAGGTGTTGAGTGTTCTTCATGGCATCACTACCGTCAAGAGTCACATGCTTGGTTCGTGGCGTGTAGCAAGCTCTGGCTCTGATACCAACTATCATGAGGCTAGTTGATGGAGCCCCATGCAACGCTTGATTGTGTTGAAAAAGCCTACGAAACAAAGCAACAAACAACAAATGCAACAACTATGACACACAAATTAGTCAAAAGGTTCTTTGTATTGCATAAATTGGTGGCAAGCACAAGCACATAGTTTAGTGTCAACGAAACTTCGTGCTTGACCTTTACATGTTCTTAGTTCACTCAACTACTTATCTCCCTTCAAAAAATAAGTTAAGCTTTTGGGGGAGTGACAGAAATAAACGTCAAAATAGTGAAAAATCATACTACATAATTATGATATTGCCATTGACATTCCCCTCATGCAAAATACATGCATTGCCTCACCTAAGACACACTTGATGGCACATGCAAGCATGATGATGGCACTTTTAGGCGCGGTGAAATGGTCACTTGTGACAAGATGGGCTCCCCATAGCCCATCCCTCCTATGAATTGGGAACATCTCCCCATGAAATGTACTAGAAGATGTTGCCTACACCAGGGGCCTAGGGGGGATGGATAGTGGGGTTGCCTGTGGGGCGCATTATGTGGGGAGTCCATCCGAATTCCGTTATGGGTCCCGAATCCCAATTTTCTTTTACAGTTTTCATGGATTGGACGGTTAACTAACATTTAAACAGTATAAACCATTACTCAGTGAGCTTTTCGGTTTTTCACCTGGTCGAGTCTGATTAGATTGCTTATATATATGTACACAAATTTAGGTTCCAAAGCCTAAGCGGTCATGTCCATGCACTTGATCAGATTGTCCCAAACCAAGAGGATCTTCTCCTTCTGATTGATCAAACGGATGAAGTATAAAAAGCACAAAGAAAAAGAAATAAATCCTTTGGATCTTGATATATGGAATTATGGACCAAAAAATCTTTGTCAAATTGAACAGAATCCATGTGAAATAGGGTGCTCAGAAGGAGACTTGCTTCATGATGAGAGAGGACTTTGGAGGCAATGGTTGAAATCGTGAATTGCCAAACAATTCTGCTAAACATAAGGCACAAGACATCAGTAAATTGGAAACTATATAACTAGAAGAGCGATTTGTTTTATTCTTACACCTTCATGATTCCCTGTCAATGTTGGCAGATTGTACCAGAATTCAAAATATCGCAATATAGCCATTTTTGAACTGAACAATACATTAAAATTTAAATACAAAAAAAAAAAAAAAATTGGAGCATCTATCAAGTTTAAAATAAAGCATTAGGTATGCAMTAAGGGTGGCAACATGGTGGTTGATTGAAACTTAAATCAGCAGAGTAGTGATCTAACTGGATATTTAGGAAACAGCCACATAACTTTACAAGGATTAGATTGACCTAGGGACTGGGCTTATCATGTATAAATAGTTTCAATTATTTTCATATGCACGAAACGAGCATAGAATTGCATTTTCTGTACCAACTTAACCATGGTTTATATATATGTAATAGATCATAGTTTAAATGTGGGGACTTGATCCATTGGAGCTGAAATAGCTCTATAGATAGCCCTTTGTATGATGCCCCTGTATGGGTCCTCCTCTCGCTTCTTTATCAGATAGGACATCATGCTTTCAACTTCAGATTTTATCTGCAAGTACAACTCGCTAGCTTTCTTTCTATCCTTCAGAATTTCCACTCTTCCCTTTGTTTCAACTGGTTTCCCAAACAGATAGTAAAAGCGGCCTGGTATCTTGGGAAAAACTCCAGGAATGAAAAGGAACTGGTTTGCTACCTCCCCACTTGAATCGGTCCTGAAACAAGAAATATGTCCCCTGTCAATAGATGTGATTATCAGGGACAAATCTTTACGTAATTGTCAAATATGATAGAACAAAATAACATTACCTTACTCTGGCAGCATTTATACTTGCCTCTTTTAACCAGTCTCTGACAAAGGGAATGTTCATTAGATCATTGTAATCGATAACAAGCTGCAACATCCATTATTATCAATGTTAATAGCTAGGTTACGAATATATCATCAACACAATAACTAAAACAGCAACTCCAGACAAACTCCAGTTTAGAAGAAATGAGGGAGGAAAAGAACAACATAATAAGCATGTCCCCTCTTCCCCACCCTCAAGCATAAATGCAAACTAGGCATGCTCCACTCTTGGTTATGGATATGCACACACCGTCACGGAAACAACTGAAAAGGGCACTAAGGCAGTAAGGAAAAAAAACAAGCACAACAATCATTTAAAGAATAATTGCCAGAAAGTGAACCAGATTATGACAGAAACGCTGATGTGGGAAACAAGTAGAAGGATAAAGTTGACAGTAATGAGGAAGCTGCAAGGAACCTTTTAAAGAGTAAGAAAGCAAGGTTAAAATAYGAACAAAAAACCTTGGGGTTTATATTGAATTGGTACATCAACAACAAGTAACCTTTAGGGTATATGGCTAGATTTACACAGATGTGGTGCATCCACATGCTTTTATGTATAATATGCATGCTGAGGAGATTTTAGTTTCCCACTTGTATGTTCTACTAGGCACCAGCAAGTTTCCTGATTTTTATCCATGCATCAGATGTATTTCTCCATTAGCCAAACCATATTTCTTTCAACTTCCATTTTTTTTAAAAAACTCTTGGGTGGAAAATATATTTCTAGTAAACATGTAAGGAAGAAAATGAATTGTTGTGAATTAGTCTCAATAAGCCTCATTTCCTTAAAACTTATGCCATGTTGAAATGATTTAGTTATTTGTGTTAAGAGTCTGTTTGGCTAGTTAAAGCCTTTTTTTATTTTCTGTTATTGTACTCACTTACAGCAGGGGCACAAGAGTCTTTTCCCTTCTTATTTCTGCCGCCCTATATAATATAATAGAATCTGGTGCCGCCAGCACTGTTCCACTGGTCCGAATCTTTTCTTCTTCCTTTCTTTCTTCTTCTCTTCTCTTCCCTTCTCTTCTCTACTTCCTCATATTTCAATCGGATTTATTGCCAAGATGCCATTCATGAACATTTTATCTATGTTTATCCAAATACTAAAAGTAATGCGGAGGTAATCAGTATACCTTTGAAAGCTCAAAGGGCAATCAAACATACTCATATATGATTTCCATCAAATATATATTGAGTAGTATTTTCTGTCAGAAGTTCAAGAATAGACAACCTCAAGGTTACAAACTCTAATTCCATAATTCAAAATAAATGAGTGCTTTTAATTTTTCAAAAGGAAAGATCAAGAAATTACCCTCATGTACTATGCAACTAGGTTTTGTCAGATTCTCATATCAACCCAAGTCTGCAGTAGGTACGACTTCTTGACTTTAATGTTGGCTTTAACAGTGTTAGAAATAAAACAAACGTTACCAGGCATCTGTTAATTTGATGAACTGAAGATGCAGTCCATCATGAAGGACCGATAATAACTTCAAACTGTTTTCCATTACTTTTAATTGATGTTTAGTTTCTTAGAAGCATTTTTTTAACTCCCCAAACCTTGGTGACAAAGGGATTTGATCTCAAGTCTCTGCAACTAGCCAGAGGACAGAAGATTTGCCAAAGTTTCTTAAAAGTATTTATGTAACCCAATGGTTTAGAATGACGTGGTACTCCTTGATCTTACCTATGACAGTTCACCAAAGGCACCAGTGTTACACCTACGCAAAGAATTTAAGGTGCTAGTGACTCAGGAACATCACATGAATACTGGATGTACAATGTGGATGACCATAGTGCACCTTGTTAGGATTCAGTATGTGTTGTAACAACATCTAGATTAAATCGTATTGCTATTTTGAAAAGATAAAACACATGAGTTGCACAAGACCTAGGGAAAGAACCAATTCTAGCATGGAATTCTTGATCATAAAGGAGCAGAGAATTTGATCCAAAGACTAACTTGCTATTTAGGGCAGTCAGATAAGATAAATGATAAATCCATAACAAAGCCTAGTAGAGAAGTCCAAGCAACCCACACCTTTTTAGACGAGTGCAGATCTCTTAGTAACCTTTCTGTTAGAATGTTAGAATGAAGTCTCTTTGTATGAGTGTTCGGCTGATAAGAGTCTTATTAGCCCATACTTAAGTTAARTYATMCTGTAWCTGGGCCTGGGTTAATGGGCCTAAGCCTGTTTAATGTTTTTAAGTTAACTGGGTGTCCCATCACTAATCAGGGGCATTCCAGTAAATTCTTGTATCATTGTACTACATTCAAATATAAATAATAGCTGGTCGACTGGGCAGTTCAGTTCGACATTATCCAGCATACCAGTGGTTTTCTTCTTCACTTCTCTACTTCGAATATAGCATTCAGCTCACATGGTATCAGAGTTGATTCGAACCTAGGGTTTCAGCTAGCACACCAGCTTCTACTCTCTCTTCTTTTGCTGCTCTTTTCTCATTTCTTCTTCTCTGGGTTGCTGAAAAAAAACAGGGTTGTAAGAGAACAAGGTAGATTCGAACATAGGGTTTCCCTTGGTTGTAGGGCTCAAGGGAGGTAAGGCCCAGAAGTGGATGTCCTACTAGCTTCTTCTTCAGCAAGATAGTAGCTATTTGGCTACTAAGTGAGGTCTGTATAGGACAGACCTAGTTGAGGACTGATTTCAGCAGTCCTAGTCCTAGCCGAAAGGGGGAGAGCTTCCCTACAACAGCAGCTTCGAAGCCCCCAGCAAAACCAGCACAGCAAAATGGGGTTGCTGAGCGCAAGAACAGGCACCTCTTGGAGACAACTCGAGCTCTACTCTTCCAGCACAAAGTGCCCAAGCAATATTGGTCTCAAGCTATACTCATTGCATCATACCTGATAAATCAGATGCCATCTAAGGTATTGGGTATGAAGACCCCTTTCTCTGTTTTGTGTCCCACTCTTCCAGAATTTTCTCTTCCCCCGACGGGTTTTTGGCTGTACATGCTTCATACATGTGAAGGATCCAAAGAAAACCAAGCTGGATCCCAAGGCTACAAAGGGAATATTTYTGGGGTACTCTCCTACACAAAAGGGGTACAAGTGTTATGATCCTGTCTCCAAGAGAAAGTATGTCACTAGAGATGTAGTTTTTTTTGAGTCTCAACCCTATTTCCAGTTTTCTCAGAATCCTCTTCAGGGGGAGACAAGTGGGGTGGAAGAGGATTCTCATCCTCCTTTCTTTTTTGTACCCCTTTCATCACCTTCCACTATTCCTAGCTGTGACATTTCGGGTCAACCTAGTGAGGCTCCCACTGTGCCAGTTACATCTCTTGATACAGCAGATGCTCCTGAAGGCTCCAGCAGGCAAGAGAAAGAGATACTTACATACAGCAGAAGAAAGAAGGGCCCTCAATCTCATGATTACAACCAATTGAACTCAGATCAATCTGTCTCTGCAATCCAAAGTAATTCTGACCCACACACTTCAGATTTGGATCTTCCTATTGCTCTCCATAAGCTTGTTCGTTCTTGTACTACCTGGCATCCCATAGCTGATTTTGTTTCTTATTCACACTTATCTCCTGCCTACCACTCCTTTGTGTCTACTCTTTCCTCTGTTCGTGTCCCTTCCAGGTACTCAGAGGCAGCATCTGATCCAAGGTGGAAAGAAGCCATGAATGAAGAGATGAAAGCAAAAACGTGGGAATTGGTTGACCTGCCAGAGGGGAAAGGCACTGTTGGGTGCAAGTGGGTATTCATAGTAAAGCACAGGGAAGATGGGTCAATTGAAAGGTATAAGGCTAGACTTGTGGCAAAGGGATTTACACAAAAGGAAAGAATTGACTACAAAGAAACCTTTGCCCCAGTAGCAAAGCTCAACACAATCCGGGTCCTACTATCACTAGCAACAAATTTATCTTGGGAACTCCATCAGCTAGATGTGAAGAATGCCTTCCTAAATGGTGATCTTCGTGAAGAGGTATTCATGGAACCCCCACTAGGCTATGATGTTGGAAAGAAGGTATGTAAACTAAGGAAAGCATTATATGGTTTGAAGCAGTCTCCCCGGGCATGGTTCGAGAGACTTTGTATGGCTATGAAGAAAGTAGGGTACACTCAAAGTAGTGCAGACCACACATTG